GTGTCAAATGCCATTCAAATGAACAGTGGAAACGTTTACAATACTTCCAGAGACTATGACGATATACGTTTGCATCGATTTCTTTACCAAAGTGAACCAACTGATCATAGTACCATAAACATAGATTGCAACTCAAATTTGAAGAAATCAGATGAGTGAAAAAAAGCTTTATACAGACAAAACGAAATAGAAAACAATACAGTACGCTGAAACTAATCAAATAAGTTCGTCAAGTCAAGTTTTTAAATGTAAAAATCGAAAAATTTGTGGGTGGCAATTCGAGGCAATCTTTCGCATTTCCCGTGTCTGGCATGTTGGGTGGTGGAATTTAATTATAAGTGTCCGTTTAATACAGGTTGGCAACAATAGAAATGACCATTTCAGGTACTTTTTAGGTGTCCGCGTCCGCTTAATAGAGGTGTCCGCTTAAGAAAGGTTTCATTTAAAGTAATTAAGGGAAATAAATTTTGGGACTTTGGCTACTGGCCGCTAAATAGAGGGTGTCCGCTTAATACGGTGTCCGCTTAATACAGGTTTCACTGTAGTGAACTTAGGTCTCCGCAAATCATTTTTTACGTAATAGCGTCTATTCCTTACATTTTTATTAGTAATAGTTCCTTGCTAAGTAACCTGACAATAAACAGCGATGTTTTGCAGATGGTTGGTTTGATCAAGATGCTATACAAATTGCACTGTTTAATTCAATCGCTTCATGTTTATCACTTTATTTAGGAAGAGAAATTCAAAGTAACTGACAGGGAACTGCTAAGTAGTCCACAAGCATCAACAGGAACTGAAAGTCAAGATGCCGCAATGTCGCTTTCAATCCAGAACCCAGACGAAAGTCTTACTGGAGACGATAACTTTTCTACCCAACAACTGTTCTCGTTTGCTTGGCAAATAGCTAAAGGAATGGTAATTACTATTCTACACTGGATAACGTTACGTTGATTCTGGTTTCGACTAATACTTGGGACAGGGTAGGAAATGCATGGACTAGGAACAGTAAGCCAATCCACCTGCCTAGCCGAGCTCTCAGTTCTTAAGTCCCATTAAAGGAGAAAAAAGAAAACAAAAGAGATCAGTGGAAAAAAGATAAAGATGAAGTTCAGTTTTCTCCAAATAAAGGGCTGCCTGAATGAAAAGATTTTCTCGTAACGGTTATAGATCATAGTTTTGGCTAAATTCGGATTTCATTACGCGTTCGAGGGAACTGGAATGGTTTATTCAATACATTTGTGACATACAATCATTCACTCCACATAGAGCGTTTTCACTCACGTGGCCAGCATCTATGCAAATTTATGAGAACAAAAGAAATTTTTTACATAAGAAAAGGGTTCAACTCCCACAGGATTGGTTTGGAACACCAACATGGCCGCCGTGACGTCATGTGAAAACGTTCTATAGTAAGCTCTCAATCTCAGCTATATACTGAATACCACTGGTACCCCGTTATTGTAATACGTCGACAATAAATTCCATTTCTTTTATCGCCTTTTTGTTAGAATCATCTCGCCGAAAACAATCTTGTTCACAGAGATCTTGCTGCCCGTAATGTACTGATCGGCCATGGCAACCAGGTCAAAGTGTCAGACTTTGGGTTGATGAGACAGATATATGAAGATGTGTACAGCTCAAGGAAGTCTAAAAAACTTCCTGTGAAGTGGATGGCCCCAGAATCACTTTATCAAGGCGTTTACACCACCAAAAGTGATGTGTGAGTTCACTGTTCCAAGTCCTCGTAAGAACTCGTTCGTAACTAAAACACTGACTTTTCCCTGCAGTAAACTATCTCTTGTAAAAGCCAAAGCTGTCAAAAATACCAAAGGTGGTTATATTTAGTACATGTACTTAGACAAAAACTGTCACTGAATTTATTATTCTAAGCGCGAAGTTTCCTAGGTGAGAGCGAATTGATTTAGCTTTTGAAGGAAAACTAGTTAACTTTAAGATTTTTTGGGAGAAAAATGACTTTCAATCTGAATTCGGGAAACCGCTTCTCACGAGACTGCCTCTAAATGATTGGAGCACCTCAAGAAAAGTGTTTACAAAGCAAAGGACATTGCTTTCTGGTGGAACAATCTACGCTAGAGCGTTCTGTGCGGCGGTGCAGAATCAATTCCGTGATTTGCATTTAACGCATTAAGAACATTTTCAATATGATATTTTCGATGACAAATAGTCCTTTTCCTTATTATATACCTATTTTCATAAAAATCCACAAACTCGTTCGCAACTCTATTTCCATAAACAGTGCCACAATTTTTACAAAGAATGTGTCTATCATCAATCAGACCCGGATTTTCACAACAATCATATAACACACCTCTTACTTCATCAATAGTTTATCACAAAATGGGCAAATACAATATTCCTTCTTTAGTTTATTACGAATTGCTAAATTACAGCTCATTCTATATACATTTATATAAAGTAATATCTCTTTAAAACAGTTTGCTTAAAAAAGAAGGGCTTAAAGCGGAACACGTCTGCGTAGAACAAGGGAAATCCCCCTTATAGGGGGCAAAAAATCGTATCCCACATTAAATAGAAAATTGAATTGGAGTTAAATATAAGGCTTGTTTGAAGTAGTAGTAGAATGTACTGCGAGAATGGTTAATTGAGTTAGAAAAACGTGGGGCTTTCTCAATTAACCGTACTCAACGCACCCTGTTAACAACCTAAAAACCCCACGGGGTTATGTTAGCTTGAATATAGGTAAAACAAACTCAAAAAGGTGTCAGAATACTGAGTAGAGCTGTAATTACACTGAGGACCACTCGAAAGAGGATGGCTAATAGCCAGTGAGAGGTGTAATAGAATTGCTGCTTTAGTCCCAAGCATAGAGGAATAACAAATAAAAAAGTGTAGAGACTCTAAAGATGGCTAGCCTAGGATAACGGAGAAGTGGGGAGAACAAAAAAGAGGAGCCGTGGAAAATGGGTTTACGGTTGGGGGATTTGGGGGGTCCCTCTTGAGAAGGTCTGGTGGCCACCAATTTTGTTAATTTTTATTTTGGTTATTATAAAATATAGTGCAACGCCAAGGCCGCGATGAATGGTAAAAAAGAGGCGCAATTAAATAATTAGTAGTATTGTAGATGGGGAAATTAGCGGTAGCCCATGAATGGTAAAAAAGAGGCCGATCAAATAATTAGTAGTATTGTAGATGGGGAAATTAACGAAGTGAAACGGAGTTAATTGCTAATCGGATACATTGGGTGAAACGAAGTGAACGAAATGGTCCGGTTACCCCTTCTACTATACTACTGACGGGGATGAGGCTTGGATACACGCGTCTCTTCCCAATGTTTGTCTAGCCGAATGCAGTTAGCCAGTTCATGCCCTTGTACAACAATGCAAATCGAGCACAAAGTGAGTGCGAAGCTAATTTAAAAGCACGAGGGGTTGACCCTCGCATTAGTTCGCACGTTCATGAAATATAAATAACATAGAAACGCTTGAAGAGGGTTGTAAATAGCTTAATTACAATCCAGTCTGACTGCTTTATCATTACTGTCTTCATAGATGGGCTTATGGTGTTCTTCTTTGGGAAATGTCCACCTTGGGTAAGTGTTGGGGTGTGAACTAATCTAATCTAACAACCTTTTACCGCTTTTAACAACCCCCTATCCCTATAATTATGATGGGGTGTGGCTTGGCTTGTTCGCTTGTATGTTTCTTTTGTTATGATTAATAGGTGTTCTTCCTCCAGGACACTGACAACACTTCTGTTCATCACCTGCAACTCTGGCTTTTTGGTATGATCTAGGCCCGGGTCAAGAAAGTGCTACAACTTAAGACAGATACAAGACAAAAATGATATCCGACATCATCTTAAAAATGCGCGCGTGGTAACCTAGAAAACAGAAGCCTTATAATTACGCATCCTGCCTTCAGATCTTCTAATGATACATTTTAGTTCAAAGGCTACTGAGTCCCCGGGGGTATTTTGGGTGAGGATGTGCCGCTGGGACCCGGGAAACCTGAGCCGATACCAAACGTAGTTCACCTGAATTTTGCCAACTCCAAGAATCTTTCCTTTTCTAATCTCACTGTTTTACAGCAGCTTGTTGAGAGCGACGCTTTCTTTGTTATTAATACTGGACTGTGGGTAAATTCAAATTTGCCGATTTTGCTTTTATCACTTTTATTTCCCTAGTCTAGACTAAAATCTTCAACCAAGTGATATTAGTTTCCTAGTTTCCAGGAAAATGATACCCTTTTCTAAAGACAAATACCCTATACCAGACTAAAGTGCATGGGAACCTTACCCTTTAGCCAGCAGCATATAACAATACAGCCCATATCTGGCAGTATCCTCTTGGATCGAACCAACATTGACTAAGTTTTGCAAAATACATTACACTGGGCATGAGGGGAGTTATACTACAACGGCAGAGTTTCTTTTGATTATAGTTAAAATCGCGATGACATCTCGAATAAGAAGTTGTATAGAGGACGTTTTAAAAATGTATGATTTCTCAATTTATGATTATTTTTTCTCCCTATCATCAGGAGGCGTGCCATACCCCACACTGACCAACATAGAGTTGTTTCGACTGCTCGGCACTGGATATCGCATGGAAAGGCCTGACATGTGTTCCGATGACGTGTACGTTTCTTTACAATTTGTGTCCGCGTCCGCTTAATAGAGGTGTCCGCTTAAGAAAGGTTTCATTTAAAGTAATTAAGGGAAATAAATTTTGGGACTTTGGCTACTGGCCGCTAAATAGAGGGTGTCCGCTTAATACGGTGTCCGCTTAATACAGGTTTCACTGTAGTGAACTTAGGTCTCCGCAAATCATTTTTTACGTAATAGCGTCTATTCCTTACATTTTTATTAGTAATAGTTCCTTGCTAAGTAACCTGACAATAAACAGCGATGTTTTGCAGATGGTTGGTTTGATCAAGATGCTATACAAATTGCACTGTTTAATTCAATCGCTTCATGTTTATCACTTTATTTAGGAAGAGAAATTCAAAGTAACTGACAGGGAACTGCTAAGTAGTCCACAAGCATCAACAGGAACTGAAAGTCAAGATGCCGCAATGTCGCTTTCAATCCAGAACCCAGACGAAAGTCTTACTGGAGACGATAACTTTTCTACCCAACAACTGTTCTCGTTTGCTTGGCAAATAGCTAAAGGAATGGTAATTACTATTCTACACTGGATAACGTTACGTTGATTCTGGTTTCGACTAATACTTGGGACAGGGTAGGAAATGCATGGACTAGGAACAGTAAGCCAATCCACCTGCCTAGCCGAGCTCTCAGTTCTTAAGTCCCATTAAAGGAGAAAAAAGAAAACAAAAGAGATCAGTGGAAAAAAGATAAAGATGAAGTTCAGTTTTCTCCAAATAAAGGGCTGCCTGAATGAAAAGATTTTCTCGTAACGGTTATAGATCATAGTTTTGGCTAAATTCGGATTTCATTACGCGTTCGAGGGAACTGGAATGGTTTATTCAATACATTTGTGACATACAATCATTCACTCCACATAGAGCGTTTTCACTCACGTGGCCAGCATCTATGCAAATTTATGAGAACAAAAGAAATTTTTTACATAAGAAAAGGGTTCAACTCCCACAGGATTGGTTTGGAACACCAACATGGCCGCCGTGACGTCATGTGAAAACGTTCTATAGTAAGCTCTCAATCTCAGCTATATACTGAATACCACTGGTACCCCGTTATTGTAATACGTCGACAATAAATTCCATTTCTTTTATCGCCTTTTTGTTAGAATCATCTCGCCGAAAACAATCTTGTTCACAGAGATCTTGCTGCCCGTAATGTACTGATCGGCCATGGCAACCAGGTCAAAGTGTCAGACTTTGGGTTGATGAGACAGATATATGAAGATGTGTACAGCTCAAGGAAGTCTAAAAAACTTCCTGTGAAGTGGATGGCCCCAGAATCACTTTATCAAGGCGTTTACACCACCAAAAGTGATGTGTGAGTTCACTGTTCCAAGTCCTCGTAAGAACTCGTTCGTAACTAAAACACTGACTTTTCCCTGCAGTAAACTATCTCTTGTAAAAGCCAAAGCTGTCAAAAATACCAAAGGTGGTTATATTTAGTACATGTACTTAGACAAAAACTGTCACTGAATTTATTATTCTAAGCGCGAAGTTTCCTAGGTGAGAGCGAATTGATTTAGCTTTTGAAGGAAAACTAGTTAACTTTAAGATTTTTTGGGAGAAAAATGACTTTCAATCTGAATTCGGGAAACCGCTTCTCACGAGACTGCCTCTAAATGATTGGAGCACCTCAAGAAAAGTGTTTACAAAGCAAAGGACATTGCTTTCTGGTGGAACAATCTACGCTAGAGCGTTCTGTGCGGCGGTGCAGAATCAATTCCGTGATTTGCATTTAACGCATTAAGAACATTTTCAATATGATATTTTCGATGACAAATAGTCCTTTTCCTTATTATATACCTATTTTCATAAAAATCCACAAACTCGTTCGCAACTCTATTTCCATAAACAGTGCCACAATTTTTACAAAGAATGTGTCTATCATCAATCAGACCCGGATTTTCACAACAATCATATAACACACCTCTTACTTCATCAATAGTTTATCACAAAATGGGCAAATACAATATTCCTTCTTTAGTTTATTACGAATTGCTAAATTACAGCTCATTCTATATACATTTATATAAAGTAATATCTCTTTAAAACAGTTTGCTTAAAAAAGAAGGGCTTAAAGCGGAACACGTCTGCGTAGAACAAGGGAAATCCCCCTTATAGGGGGCAAAAAATCGTATCCCACATTAAATAGAAAATTGAATTGGAGTTAAATATAAGGCTTGTTTGAAGTAGTAGTAGAATGTACTGCGAGAATGGTTAATTGAGTTAGAAAAACGTGGGGCTTTCTCAATTAACCGTACTCAACGCACCCTGTTAACAACCTAAAAACCCCACGGGGTTATGTTAGCTTGAATATAGGTAAAACAAACTCAAAAAGGTGTCAGAATACTGAGTAGAGCTGTAATTACACTGAGGACCACTCGAAAGAGGATGGCTAATAGCCAGTGAGAGGTGTAATAGAATTGCTGCTTTAGTCCCAAGCATAGAGGAATAACAAATAAAAAAGTGTAGAGACTCTAAAGATGGCTAGCCTAGGATAACGGAGAAGTGGGGAGAACAAAAAAGAGGAGCCGTGGAAAATGGGTTTACGGTTGGGGGATTTGGGGGGTCCCTCTTGAGAAGGTCTGGTGGCCACCAATTTTGTTAATTTTTATTTTGGTTATTATAAAATATAGTGCAACGCCAAGGCCGCGATGAATGGTAAAAAAGAGGCGCAATTAAATAATTAGTAGTATTGTAGATGGGGAAATTAGCGGTAGCCCATGAATGGTAAAAAAGAGGCCGATCAAATAATTAGTAGTATTGTAGATGGGGAAATTAACGAAGTGAAACGGAGTTAATTGCTAATCGGATACATTGGGTGAAACGAAGTGAACGAAATGGTCCGGTTACCCCTTCTACTATACTACTGACGGGGATGAGGCTTGGATACACGCGTCTCTTCCCAATGTTTGTCTAGCCGAATGCAGTTAGCCAGTTCATGCCCTTGTACAACAATGCAAATCGAGCACAAAGTGAGTGCGAAGCTAATTTAAAAGCACGAGGGGTTGACCCTCGCATTAGTTCGCACGTTCATGAAATATAAATAACATAGAAACGCTTGAAGAGGGTTGTAAATAGCTTAATTACAATCCAGTCTGACTGCTTTATCATTACTGTCTTCATAGATGGGCTTATGGTGTTCTTCTTTGGGAAATGTCCACCTTGGGTAAGTGTTGGGGTGTGAACTAATCTAATCTAACAACCTTTTACCGCTTTTAACAACCCCCTATCCCTATAATTATGATGGGGTGTGGCTTGGCTTGTTCGCTTGTATGTTTCTTTTGTTATGATTAATAGGTGTTCTTCCTCCAGGACACTGACAACACTTCTGTTCATCACCTGCAACTCTGGCTTTTTGGTATGATCTAGGCCCGGGTCAAGAAAGTGCTACAACTTAAGACAGATACAAGACAAAAATGATATCCGACATCATCTTAAAAATGCGCGCGTGGTAACCTAGAAAACAGAAGCCTTATAATTACGCATCCTGCCTTCAGATCTTCTAATGATACATTTTAGTTCAAAGGCTACTGAGTCCCCGGGGGTATTTTGGGTGAGGATGTGCCGCTGGGACCCGGGAAACCTGAGCCGATACCAAACGTAGTTCACCTGAATTTTGCCAACTCCAAGAATCTTTCCTTTTCTAATCTCACTGTTTTACAGCAGCTTGTTGAGAGCGACGCTTTCTTTGTTATTAATACTGGACTGTGGGTAAATTCAAATTTGCCGATTTTGCTTTTATCACTTTTATTTCCCTAGTCTAGACTAAAATCTTCAACCAAGTGATATTAGTTTCCTAGTTTCCAGGAAAATGATACCCTTTTCTAAAGACAAATACCCTATACCAGACTAAAGTGCATGGGAACCTTACCCTTTAGCCAGCAGCATATAACAATACAGCCCATATCTGGCAGTATCCTCTTGGATCGAACCAACATTGACTAAGTTTTGCAAAATACATTACACTGGGCATGAGGGGAGTTATACTACAACGGCAGAGTTTCTTTTGATTATAGTTAAAATCGCGATGACATCTCGAATAAGAAGTTGTATAGAGGACGTTTTAAAAATGTATGATTTCTCAATTTATGATTATTTTTTCTCCCTATCATCAGGAGGCGTGCCATACCCCACACTGACCAACATAGAGTTGTTTCGACTGCTCGGCACTGGATATCGCATGGAAAGGCCTGACATGTGTTCCGATGACGTGTACGTTTCTTTACAATTATCGTATTAAAATTTGTAAATAGATTTGATTTCCCCATAAAACCTTCATTAATTGACGTCGTTGTCTATAATAGATACGAGCTGATGACCCACTGTTGGAAAGAGGACCCTTGCTCTCGTCCCAGTTTTTTTCAGATTATCGAAAAACTGGAGGTGATAATGGAAAGGGATGCACCATATTTGGATGTAAACAAGCATAATGAAGCTCATCCGTATTACAACGTGCCACCTGAAGCTAGTGACGATGAAGACGTAAATACGGAAAAGGCAGACACCCAAGAATCGGAAATTTTAAAAGGAACCAAGATAAATAGTTGAATGCATGATAATCGAGAAACTAAGCTAAGAAAAGATTGAAATGGGTAAAACTACAGTTGTACATAAAAAGAGCTTTAAAAGCATAACAAAAAATGTAACAGTAAAGCATTTCAGTTATAATACCTCCCCTCTTCTATAAAAGTTCACTAGACATTTAAAATCACTGGAGGGAAATCCTCACGATATAGATACCACCATGATGATGTTTCGACTTCGCCCACTACGCTGACCAAAGGATGGCGTGCACTTGATGCGAGATTGTTCCCCAGTACTCTCCAGGTTTCCCAGAATACTATTGCACACGCGTCTTGATCACAGGCTCAAAGTTCATGTCTTGATTGATTTTATTACCGATCTTCCAAGAGCAGATAAGAATTGACAATGCTTAAAGGCTAACAACACTAAACGCTAAACCCGATTAAGGCCGTCCTACAATAAAACTCCCCCCAAAAACGTGCAACTTGTTTTAGTTTTGTAGCGTTGCTGAAGAACGTGTTGAAAAGCGATGTTGCGTGTTTACCCACAGCCGTTTAAATCTGTTTTGCGAAAAATAACTCTCATGCATACATAAAAAAACAACAAACAATTATCCTTGATAAATAACCCAGTTCAGTATGTACCGTTAATTCTCCATTAAGCCACCCTCCTCAAATGGGCTTGAAATAAATAAGCCCCCCCGAGGGGTTTAATAGAGCATTTACGGTATGTGAATCCACTCCTTCTATTTGCAATGGCAAGTTAATTTTTTTTAAAGTATTTCATATCTGCTGCTCCCGGGGTATTGTGGTTTGCTACAGAAGAATTTATATACCTATTTTCATAAAAATCCACAAACTCGTTCGCAACTCTATTTCCATAAACAGTGCCACAATTTTTACAAAGAATGTGTCTATCATCAATCAGACCCGGATTTTCACAACAATCATATAACACACCTCTTACTTCATCAATAGTTTATCACAAAATGGGCAAATACAATATTCCTTCTTTAGTTTATTACGAATTGCTAAATTACAGCTCATTCTATATACATTTATATAAAGTAATATCTCTTTAAAACAGTTTGCTTAAAAAAGAAGGGCTTAAAGCGGAACACGTCTGCGTAGAACAAGGGAAATCCCCCTTATAGGGGGCAAAAAATCGTATCCCACATTAAATAGAAAATTGAATTGGAGTTAAATATAAGGCTTGTTTGAAGTAGTAGTAGAATGTACTGCGAGAATGGTTAATTGAGTTAGAAAAACGTGGGGCTTTCTCAATTAACCGTACTCAACGCACCCTGTTAACAACCTAAAAACCCCACGGGGTTATGTTAGCTTGAATATAGGTAAAACAAACTCAAAAAGGTGTCAGAATACTGAGTAGAGCTGTAATTACACTGAGGACCACTCGAAAGAGGATGGCTAATAGCCAGTGAGAGGTGTAATAGAATTGCTGCTTTAGTCCCAAGCATAGAGGAATAACAAATAAAAAAGTGTAGAGACTCTAAAGATGGCTAGCCTAGGATAACGGAGAAGTGGGGAGAACAAAAAAGAGGAGCCGTGGAAAATGGGTTTACGGTTGGGGGATTTGGGGGGTCCCTCTTGAGAAGGTCTGGTGGCCACCAATTTTGTTAATTTTTATTTTGGTTATTATAAAATATAGTGCAACGCCAAGGCCGCGATGAATGGTAAAAAAGAGGCGCAATTAAATAATTAGTAGTATTGTAGATGGGGAAATTAGCGGTAGCCCATGAATGGTAAAAAAGAGGCCGATCAAATAATTAGTAGTATTGTAGATGGGGAAATTAACGAAGTGAAACGGAGTTAATTGCTAATCGGATACATTGGGTGAAACGAAGTGAACGAAATGGTCCGGTTACCCCTTCTACTATACTACTGACGGGGATGAGGCTTGGATACACGCGTCTCTTCCCAATGTTTGTCTAGCCGAATGCAGTTAGCCAGTTCATGCCCTTGTACAACAATGTAAATCGAGCACAAAGTGAGTGCGAAGCTAATTTAAAAGCACGAGGGGTTGACCCTCGCATTAGTTCGCACGTTCATGAAATATAAATAACATAGAAACGCTTGAAGAGGGTTGTAAATAGCTTAATTACAATCCAGTCTGACTGCTTTATCATTACTGTCTTCATAGATGGGCTTATGGTGTTCTTCTTTGGGAAATGTCCACCTTGGGTAAGTGTTGGGGTGTGAACTAATCTAATCTAACAACCTTTTACCGCTTTTAACAACCCCCTATCCCTATAATTATGATGGGGTGTGGCTTGGCTTGTTCGCTTGTATGTTTCTTTTGTTATGATTAATAGGTGTTCTTCCTCCAGGACACTGACAACACTTCTGTTCATCACCTGCAACTCTGGCTTTTTGGTATGATCTAGGCCCGGGTCAAGAAAGTGCTACAACTTAAGACAGATACAAGACAAAAATGATATCCGACATCATCTTAAAAATGCGCGCGTGGTAACCTAGAAAACAGAAGCCTTATAATTACGCATCCTGCCTTCAGATCTTCTAATGATACATTTTAGTTCAAAGGCTACTGAGTCCCCGGGGGTATTTTGGGTGAGGATGTGCCGCTGGGACCCGGGAAACCTGAGCCGATACCAAACGTAGTTCACCTGAATTTTGCCAACTCCAAGAATCTTTCCTTTTCTAATCTCACTGTTTTACAGCAGCTTGTTGAGAGCGACGCTTTCTTTGTTATTAATACTGGACTGTGGGTAAATTCAAATTTGCCGATTTTGCTTTTATCACTTTTATTTCCCTAGTCTAGACTAAAATCTTCAACCAAGTGATATTAGTTTCCTAGTTTCCAGGAAAATGATACCCTTTTCTAAAGACAAATACCCTATACCAGACTAAAGTGCATGGGAACCTTACCCTTTAGCCAGCAGCATATAACAATACAGCCCATATCTGGCAGTATCCTCTTGGATCGAACCAACATTGACTAAGTTTTGCAAAATACATTACACTGGGCATGAGGGGAGTTATACTACAACGGCAGAGTTTCTTTTGATTATAGTTAAAATCGCGATGACATCTCGAATAAGAAGTTGTATAGAGGACGTTTTAAAAATGTATGATTTCTCAATTTATGATTATTTTTTCTCCCTATCATCAGGAGGCGTGCCATACCCCACACTGACCAACATAGAGTTGTTTCGACTGCTCGGCACTGGATATCGCATGGAAAGGCCTGACATGTGTTCCGATGACGTGTACGTTTCTTTACAATTATCGTATTAAAATTTGTAAATAGATTTGATTTCCCCATAAAACCTTCATTAATTGACGTCGTTGTCTATAATAGATACGAGCTGATGACCCACTGTTGGAAAGAGGACCCTTGCTCTCGTCCCAGTTTTTTTCAGATTATCGAAAAACTGGAGGTGATAATGGAAAGGGATGCACCATATTTGGATGTAAACAAGCATAATGAAGCTCATCCGTATTACAACGTGCCACCTGAAGCTAGTGACGATGAAGACGTAAATACGGAAAAGGCAGACACCCAAGAATCGGAAATTTTAAAAGGAACCAAGATAAATAGTTGAATGCATGATAATCGAGAAACTAAGCTAAGAAAAGATTGAAATGGGTAAAACTACAGTTGTACATAAAAAGAGCTTTAAAAGCATAACAAAAAATGTAACAGTAAAGCATTTCAGTTATAATACCTCCCCTCTTCTATAAAAGTTCACTAGACATTTAAAATCACTGGAGGGAAATCCTCACGATATAGATACCACCATGATGATGTTTCGACTTCGCCCACTACGCTGACCAAAGGATGGCGTGCACTTGATGCGAGATTGTTCCCCAGTACTCTCCAGGTTTCCCAGAATACTATTGCACACGCGTCTTGATCACAGGCTCAAAGTTCATGTCTTGATTGATTTTATTACCGATCTTCCAAGAGCAGATAAGAATTGACAATGCTTAAAGGCTAACAACACTAAACGCTAAACCCGATTAAGGCCGTCCTACAATAAAACTCCCCCCAAAAACGTGCAACTTGTTTTAGTTTTGTAGCGTTGCTGAAGAACGTGTTGAAAAGCGATGTTGCGTGTTTACCCACAGCCGTTTAAATCTGTTTTGCGAAAAATAACTCTCATGCATACATAAAAAAACAACAAACAATTATCCTTGATAAATAACCCAGTTCAGTATGTACCGTTAATTCTCCATTAAGCCACCCTCCTCAAATGGGCTTGAAATAAATAAGCCCCCCCCGAGGGGTTTAATAGAGCATTTACGGTATGTGAATCCACTCCTTCTATTTGCAATGGCAAGTTAATTTTTTTTAAAGTATTTCATATCTGCTGCTCCCGGGGTATTGTGGTTTGCTACAGAAGAATTTCTCACTGAAGTTGTTCCTAGGGGGACTCCCTATAATGGCCTCTACAGGAAGGGTGTGCCCCAAAGGGCTACCTTATTCAGGCTTCTGAGGTTGTTGAAGTATATAAAAGAGTAAGGAAACGTGTCATTTCCGTCTGTAAAAAGGCTTCAAAGTGCTAACAGATGCATTTTATGGCTGCGAAAAAATCGAGAAAATGTTCTGGTTTTGCATTTTATTCATTTTTTAACGACAGTGCATTTATAGCAGTTAAAAGGGGTGCCATTTGACAATAGAGGTATACAAAAGGGGTATTTTTTGTCAAAAATGGTATATTTAACAATGATTCCT